TTTTTTTTTGAATTTTTTTTGAGAGAGTGTTTATTTCCATTTTTTGACGTCTTTGCTTAGACTTTTTCAATAAATTTCATTAAGTTTTGCCTATTGTAGAAAAGAAGATACAATGCATGTGAAACTGGGCTCAATTCAATTGGTTGTTGACAATATGTTCAAAGGGGTGGGGTTCATGATTAAGCTTTTTTTTGCTCAGAAAGTTGAAGCTGGCAGTGAAATAGAAATTATTTTGTAGCTTTAGTCCCTCATCAAGATGATCTTTGTACTTTGGTACGTAACTCTAAATTGAACCCCATAACAATTGCTTTTAGCTAATTCTACTTTGGTACGTAGCTTCTTTGGTAGTAATTGGCCTTCTCTACTATTGTTAAGATTTGGTATGAACAAAATCTTTTGCAAATTAGTTCTATATATAAGTTTTAGCTTCTTTTAATATTAGGGATTATGATATGTAATTTTGGTTGATAAAAAAGTTATGATATGTAATCTCTCTTCTTCTTTTTTTAATGTAATTCATATTTTTCAAAAAAAAAATAAATTCAATTTCCATAATATGTTGTGTTTGACAATTTGTACACTACACCCATGTATTCCTGTAAAAGTTATTAGCATATTTAAAAAAATTTAAATAATACATTTAATAACTTAATAATTTTCATATTACATAATTTTTTTTAAACAAAAACAAAATACATCATAACCTCTAAAATTAATCAATTTAAAAATACACAAAATTTATATTATATAACTTAAATCATTTAAGTCAAGATATATTTATTCAATTTCAAACCCAAGAAAAAGGTTAGACAAGACTACCTATATACTGCCCATTCTGTCTTTAAAATATAAGCCCTTCCACATTCTAAACACCTAATTTCTTACATGAATCATAATTAAATTTTTTGTCAGAATAAAATTACTTGAAACCTTTGGGAATAAGGTGCTAGGACAATAAAGTCATGGCTGGTACAAATATTCCCCCACCCCTAGTAATTCACCTTGTTCTAAACAATAAAAAAACCCAGACAAAATTCTGGTTTGGTCTTAATTTTTACTAATGAATTGGAGTATTGGACGTTATGATAATATTTGCAGTACAAAGTTGTCCTACCTTTTAATATGGTAAAGAAAAGGTTTGTCTGCAACCCCTAAACAAAAATATTATTTAATTATAAAGTAGAAAGCCAAGGCAGGTACAGAAGGAAAACCAGCTCTCCTGCCTCCCCTCAAAGATACAGAAGCCACAGCTCCTCCTCCTTCCCCTCCATCTTCACTTTCTTTATCAATCTTTCCTTTGTTATAGGTATTGAGTTAAGAGAGTCCTTTTCTCTGCATAACTTTGATGTCTATACCACTCGAACATGATTACATAGGCTTAGCAGAGACTTCTTCAATGGAAAGAAGCCCTGAGAAGATCTCCTCCTCTTCTTCTTCCTCACCTCCTCGTGCCATTGAAGGAAACAATAGCAGCAGAAGCAACAACACTGTTCTCAACCTCAAAGAGACTGAGCTGAGGCTTGGCTTGCCTGGTTCTCAATCTCCTGAGAGAAAACCAGGACCTGTTGGGGTCTCACTTTTTGGGAAAGATTTGGAAAATAAGAGTAATGGCTGTTCTCCAAACCCTTTGAAAAACTTTGTCTTTGGGGCTAAAAGGGGTTTCTCAGATGTCATTGATGGGCCTCCTGGAAATTGGGTTTTCTCTGTCAATGGTAAATCTGATGTTGATTTGGGGAAAGGTGCTGTTTTGTTCTCTTGTAGAGGTGAGAAAAACAATACCCAGCAAGCATGTCTCCCTGTACCAACCAAGATTGTCGGTGTTCCTCCTCCTCCAAAGCCAGTTCAAGAGAATAAGGATCAGGTTTCCACTGTAAATGAACATGGTAGTCCTCCTGCTGCAAAGTAAGTTTGTATTCAAATCTTTTCCTCTCTTAGCTCTCTCCTTTTTGTTTTCTTTTATTTCTCCGTTCAGTGACCCATTGATTTCCAAGGAAATTTGAGATGAGGAAGAAACTCGCTTCGAACTTTTGTCTTTATTTTTACTTTGTCTCTTTTTTCATTACAATAGTACCTATAAATGAAAATATGGAAATAAGTAATCTTAATAAAGCCATAAAGCGGTTTTTATGATTATATCTTTTATCATAACAAGTTATGTTTGGGTTAAGAATGATGTTAAAATTTTCTTGCAGTTTTAAAATTCTATTGGCATTTGGCAGTCAATTTAAGCACTAAGCATCGAATTTGTTTATCTTAGATTGGGGTTTTTCCTGCTGCCTAAAAGTTTCTTTAATTTGTTTACTTTAAAGACTAAATCTTCAAATTTTAAATTTTAGTCCGCTATTTATTCTAGTTCTTGTCTTACCTGTTCTTCCCATTGGTTGAATTTGATAACTTTCTTCTTTTATTCTTATGAGTTTCTGTCCCTACAATATTAAAAATTCTGTTTTTTACCAATGACTGCAGGCAATTTGTATCAATAACTGAACATTAGCTTTCTTTGACAGAGCGCAGGTTGTGGGGTGGCCACCAATCCGTTCATACCGAAAGAACACCGTGGCCTCTAATTTGGTGAAGAACGGTGAGGATGGTGAAGGCAAATCAGCAGCAGGGTGCCTATATGTAAAGGTTAGCATGGAGGGTGCCCCATATCTGAGGAAGGTTGACCTCAAAAATTACAACAATTATACGGAACTCTCATCAGCTTTAGAGAAGATGTTCAGCTGCTTTACAATAGGTATACTTCCTTACCCAATTTCTCAGACTGCAGGGCCTCTGCTTTGAAACAGACTATTTTTTACCTTTGGGTTCATTTAAAAAGGGCACAATGCATGCCTTATGATATTTTCCAGAGCATGCATTTATCTCTTATAAAACATGTTAAGATCCCGTATAGAGTAAGAAGATATTCAGTAATTTGTGTCCTGTCATGGTTCTTGGAGCACCAAGCTTCATCATGTTGTTCCAGTGTAACATTTATCTCTTTTTCTGGAATAAAGATAAAGATTTCAAAGTTAAAAAATCAACTCTTAAAGCTTCCAAATTGAATATTAGGGCATAGTTTAGTGTGTAATGTTTTACAAAGAGCAAATTCTAGCTTGTTTTGACTTGTGTTTATGACTGTGAGTCAGGGCACTGCAGTTCTAATGGTCTTCCTGGGCGAGATGGTCTGAGTGAGCGATGTTTGAAGGATCTTCTTCACAGCTCTGAGTTTGTTCTTACATATGAAGACAAGGATGGTGATTGGATGCTTGTCGGTGATGTCCCTTGGGAGTAAGTGCTCTTCTTAGATATCACTCAAAGTCAAGTGGGCTTTTCACACTTTGACAAGGTCTTGGAGAATCTCTTGGTGGGATGTGATTTCTATGCTTTTTTAATTTGCGTATTGAACTTGAAATTTTAGAAGAGATTGATGTGAAATGGGTCAAGTCCTTTCCCGTTTATGAAGCTCCATCAAAGATCACAATGATCTTAAATAGTATATATGATTGCTCCTCATGAAAATTGTTAGTATGTTTACCCTAGTGCTGTTATTCTGGAACTTGACACGGTGCCTTATGCATAACTTTTCTTTCAATTCAGCCTACTTGATCTTATATTCTGCAAGCTGATCATTTTCTTTCATTTATTTATTGTCTAATTATGCTTATTCTTCACACATCACAGATTCCCTCATTTTGTTATCTTTGTTTATCTCAGGATGTTCACTGATACATGTAGGAGGCTAAGAATCAAGAAAGGTTCTGAGGCAATTGGACTAGGTATCCCATATTATTTTAATATAAACATTGCTAACATTTTTGAGGGTTAACAATTTATTTATGGAAGTCTCCATTTGATTGCTTGCAGCTCCAACAGCAATGGAGAAGAGCAAAACCCAGAACTAATGTGAAGAGTATGTCAAAAGACCTGGAAAGTTTCATTTCTCCTTAGTATTCTACAACTTAGAAGTGTGATTAGTTGACCAGTTTTCTCAGAAACTACATATATTTTCAAAATATAGTAAGTTTGATGCAGTTGGTTAGCTTGAATACTTCCTACTAGACAAATTAAGCCATGGGAAATATCCATCTATTTGCGGTTGTTTGGTATCTTATCCCTTTTTGTCTACTTGTATTATTGCGTATTATTGCATAAATCAAGTGCTTTGTCAACTTTAAATCTCCATCTCACACACACACGCGCACGCGCACACATGTTATAATCGTCAATCACATAAATAATGTGTCTCGTGAGTCGTGACCCATCAATAATAGTGTCTGCAAAAGGTAGTAATTGAGGGAGTGTTGCTGGTACTCTCGTTTGTTTGGGTATGAACTGCAAAATAGCATGAGTAACGTATGGATAAACTGCTATAAGGTAAAAGAGAAAATTATTTACACAAAGTACTATCTAGAGTAGAACTTAGTACAGATCTAACTCAGGATACTTTTATGGTCCTGGTTCTGAGATTTGAATATATACCATCTGGGTATATCCATTAAATACAGAAGTCCCTAGTCTGCCTAAACCTAGTCGTTGAAGCAAACCATAATGACCGTCCTTAACAATAAGAATTGGAGTATGAGCAGGGTCATACAGTGTTTGGTGACTAAGGGAAGGACCAGCTGCAGGTGGTAGTTCCCAATACACGTCAAGAATTGATTCAATAAACCGACTGTCTGCGAAGTGATCTGAATGTGAAATTGGGGTATGATTCTTGTCAAAACTGTCTCGCATCTCCCCTCTAACACCCCACCATGCTTGATTTGGCCCACAGAGCTCATCAATATCCACTGCCTTTTCCCAGAATTTCTTCCTTTTTGATCTAATCTGGGCTTCATCACTATCTCTGAAGCAGCTATGGCCACCTCCTGAATGCACAGGCCTCACAATTAGAATAAGAATCGTATGGACGCCAAAATTCATATATTTCTTTTCATACTTACAATGTTTCTTAAAATCCAAAAACTACTATGCCCCCTTGACAGTTTTAGAAAGGGTTTCAACTTTTAAGCAGACATGCCACGGGAGAAATTTCAGGCTTCACCAATGATATGGATCCTTAGAATAGCTAGATATTCTCTTTGCTACCAAGATACTCGGTTCCATACACTTAAAGTCAATTATCATCTCGTTTCAAGCAACATAAAAAGGAACAAAAATAAGAAATAAAAGCCAGTTGAGATAATTCAGAACTCAACTTGATACTTAATAAATTAATCACAGTTTTGGCTGATGATAGATTAAGAAGGTGAACATAATCTAAACTCCTCAGTGAGTTGCAATGTTAAAAATCATTTGCTCTGATAAATTGTATGTACTTGCATTTCATACATCTCAAACCATTAGATGCTCTCTCAAATTTCTTATACATACTTTATATTATCCAATAAACAAAAGGATTATATGGCCTTACTCAATTATCAATTATCATAAAGAAGTTACAATGTGTTCATATCTAAGCTACTCAAAGATACTGAAAACGAAAAATAAGAGAACAGAAAAAGGAGAAAGCCAGCACCTCTTATATAGAACTGATCGCATATCTGCCTCAAGGAATAATGATATCCAGTTCCAGTGTCATAGTTATCTTCAAAAACAAGATGGCGGAAGCCAGCGTTAAGTGCCTGCTTAACCCTACTCACAAAAGTATGTAATAAGCGAAACCAGCACAAACAAATCTAAAATCCGTGAAAGCTAAAGATCACAGATAATCCTATGTATGAACACCTGTCTACTCCATATACATTGAGAAATTTTTCATCAGCACAAGCATTCTCAAAAATTTGAAGTGTAAAGATGAAGGTAATTAGATGAATTATATGCATCAAGTACCTTTTTAATTCACTTCGATGGTCATCAAAGAAGACAAGAACTCTGCTTGGATAAAAAATACCATGTCTCTTTAGCACCCTCTTCCAATCAATATTTCCAAAATCCACAAAATCCTTTCCAGCAAAGTATGTTCAGTTTGCATCGATATAAGCGGGCCCCTGTTTTAGGTATTTCTCAGGATGACAGGGTGTAACTGAGATGAGTGGTTTGTGAGGCATTGTTTGCCTCAGAACCCAAGTTAAATGCCTGTTGAAAGCACCACTCTCAATCATCAAATCTTGTTGAAGCCACTGTGTAATGAACCAAAGCCCAAAGCTATGATCAAATCCCATCCCATATGTGTTGTTTTTTATTGGGCATGTTTCATATATAGGTACAAAATCCTCCAAACCTTTGATTAAATCTTTGGATGTCCATTCAACCGTTTTTCCATGTTTTGATCTGCCTTTTGCCAATGATAAGAATTAAATAGGTGCAAACTGTAAGAATTAGGAGTTCACTCAAACAGAGCTCGACAAGGCCAACAGCTCAGCTGAATTAACAATTAAGTATGATATTAATCAAGTAAGACTCTATCTGAAAGCCCAAAAAGAAAATAAAAAGGAAAGAAAGAAGGAAAGAAAAAAAAAGAGACTATTTATAACATCAACTTCACAATGTGAAAAGGCAAACCAACATATTTAAGTTAAAATTACAATATTCAAGATTGGAGATATAAACTGTCAAAAAGAAAGAGGACAAAAGCAAGAGGAAGAAAGCCAAAAACTCCAAAAACAACATTGCAAATTTTAAAAAGGGAGACGTGAATAAACAATGCAGCAGCCATAATTTTAACATGAAAAAACCAAGTCCTAAGAAGCCTTTCACATAAGTCAACTATATCATCCCCGACTCTTTGCTATTGTTACTTTGCTCTTAGTTGCCCCATTCCCATAAAATCTATCCCTTTACATAATTCACAAAGGGATTGAGGAAAATCAAGACTTCCTAGTAATAAAATGCTAGAATTGAAAATAAAAAGATTAAAATACCTTTAATAAATCAACATGCAAGGAAGATTCATTAACCGCTTGTTTGGAGCACTGGATTAGTGACGGGATTGGATAAAATTTAATCCAATCAATCAATAACCCACGTTTGGTGCTGCCTATGGAAAGGATAAAATGTATCCGGTGTTTTGTCTTATCCAAACTTGAAGGCATAAAAATTATCTCGCATCCCCCTTGGGTTACGGTGGGATTGGATTGAAGTTTCTCCAGACGATAAATAAAATCTCTCTTTTGCCCTTTCTCCTTCCCTCATCGCTGTTGACAATCGCCCTTTTATCTTTCCTCACCTCATCGATCACCATAACCGGTGCCATTCCGTCGATCCTTTAGTAAGTCTCAAATCTACTTTTTCATTTTTATTTTCTTCGTTACCTATAAAACTCAGATCTATCCCCTTTTTCCTCACCTGCAGCAATCTTGCAATTCCTCTATATTTCTTCTTCTCCAATCTTGAGCTGCTCATTTTGGTAAGCTTGTAAGCTTTATCTTTGTTCTTGGGTATTTCATTTTTGTTAATTATGTAGAAAAAATGGAGGAATACCACCCAGTTTCTTCTTAGTTATCCATCTTTGGAATTATTTGATAAGCTATTTAAATTTGGGAACAAATTTATGTATTCTATTCAAAATCATTTTTTTTTTTCTAATGTTTTACATTTTGGGAGCTTCTTGTTGGTCGGAAAATGATGGGTTATTGCTGGGTTTGAATTTTAGCCTTTTTGGTCTGTGTTTTTTTTTTTTGGTAAATTTGATGCTGGAGGGTGCATGATAGCAACCCAAGTCACATGGTATCTAAATTTTCTATTCTTTGCCCATAGAATGGTTTAATTTAACCAGTGAGTCGTTATGCCTTGGGTCCATATGGTTAATGATTCTCATGCTTCTTTATGGACCTAGAATGTAGGGTTGCATATGGTTTGTTCTTTCCACTGTGTGGGGCAGGAAAGCTATGATTTCAAGATAACATAGGTTTGTGCACAAAGCAAAATGAAAAATGCAAGGGAAGCGATTTCGTGTTTTGCTTTCTGATTTTGTTAATTGAATTCAGCTACTTTGATTGTTGGGCAGTCAATCCTGCTTCTATGCGCTTGCTATTATTAAAGATGACATTGTAATCTTATTTTTCAGCTTTTAAGGTCAGTTAGTTTGTTGGGTTTATAGTATAATGTGTAGCTCATTTCATGAGAAATTGTGACAAATAATGATGCTTTTTTAGATTTGCATACCATTGCCTATTCTTGTTTTCTTTTATGTTAGTATCTCATTGACTATTTTTTACCAGCAAAGATCTCTTTAAGTAAACCTAGTCTCATATGTTGGATTTTCAGAAGATAGAAGTGAGAGTCATTTTGTCAAAACTTGTGCTTGTCACAATTTCATCTATTGCTTCTTTTTCTAAAATGACATGGTCTAGTGAACCAATTGCAAATTAAAGATAAGAATAAATGCCTCAACCATTTGCTCAAGGTTATGTTTGTTTAATTTGTCCATTTGGTTCCTTTCCTGATTTGTCATAGTATGATGTAAGCCTACCACTTAAAATCATGCATTAATGGCTGTGATTTTCAAGTTGACTTCTACATCTATGTATTTCTCTGCAATTGTTTGCTTTAAGTAAAATTTTTTAATAATTTAATCTCTTTTTTAGCCATCTTGATGATCATGATTTGACATTGGAAGGCAATTCATTTATCAAGAACGTAAATTGTTCCATTAAGAAATTGTGTAACAACCTTAATTTATTGTAAGTTCTAGTTGTTTAACACCCAAAAACTGTTTTAGTAAGATCAAGCACTTGAATTTGGGTCATACTGTGTGTAGGTTCTATATAAATACCATATTGCTTTGCATTTTAGTTTTTGCACTTGTACTGTGTCTACCAGTTTCACATAGCATGTCTTGTTATAAATTCTAATAAGATGCTATATTGTAGTAGTTCATGACATCTTTAATTGTTTCTTGGCCAGAAGTTAAGGTTATATGACTAGGATGGTGGTTCCCCAAAAGCCTATGTTTTTAATATGGACATAGAATTTTTCAACATTCTTTGCTTTGAGTTGCTCACCAAGGTTTTTACTAATTTGTTTCTGTTCTTAATATTTTACTAGGTCTTTGCCTAAAATTCTGTCACCATAATTGAGTTAAGCAAGATGGATGCCATGGAGCAACAAATATTTTGAGAGTTTGACTTATTAGAAAAAAAAAATCATATGGTATATAAATAATGTTGACTATTTGTACTATATATGAATGACTATTAATGGTGGATTTGGCAATTAGCTTGCATTATTTTTATGAAAATTTTATGTTTATTGTTTTGAAGACCTTAGAATGTGAATTTCATTATTCTCATTTTACATTATATTCTTTCCATTTTGTTCAAACTACAAAGATT